CTTAGGCATTTGGGCCAAGAGTACATAGCCCAAAAGATATTGGCAGGCATGCTGAAGCTCCCGTCACCCCCGTGCCTGCTTCATTCCTCTGAGGGACTGTATCCATTAGGCTCCTTGAATATAGCCACAACTTTGCCAGGCGAGCATGACAAGCACTCCCCAAAGAGCCGGTGATTCGAGGATATTGAACGGAAGATGGAAGAGCACGACTGGCCCACGTCGAACTGTGGCTACAAGTACGGTGACGAAAACATCAAGACCAGGCGCATGGTCTGAGACGCCAAAAGCTACGGCGCCGGAACGAAAGGAAAGACCGAGCATGTATGAATGAATGCGGAAGACAATGGGCTAGAAGTAGAGCAGGAAGCAGATAGCAAAGGAGTCAATCCTGCAAAAGGAGACCCATTATCGGCGTTGTCGGTGTTTCTGATGAGTGGATCGTAACACAAGAGCGTCAGTCATCGGCCCTCCCCTCAGTGCTATCCTCAAGCACAGGGGAAGGTGAGCGGAGAAGAGCCTTTGCAGGGGCCATTCCTCCATATCGATTTGTTCACTAGATCCTCAAAGGCATGGTCTAGTATACAGTCGATTTCTCGCCAGGCTCGTCCAGCGCAATCCAGTTCCCCGGCATGAATCCGACGCCAACTCTTTCATACAGGCTTTGTCTTCTGTTCGGCCGCTGCCCGATGATGAGGACGTAGTGTCTCCGCGCCTCACCTCCTGCCATTGATTTAACAAGACTCCGCCAATGATAACACACTGCATCCCGAGTATCTGCGATTCCTGCGGCCCGTGGTCTTGCTGATCCCGATCATCCAACCACTCACGAATCACCACCGGTCATTGTTGACTAGCGTTGATCAACGTCAAACATCATTGGATTCTATCGTGGAAAACGAGACCGGACTGATACACAGCCATAGCTGATGGTAGCAGGAAGCTTCTGCCGGCACGTTGTCAAAGAGAGTGCTCCTTGTTCCTTCGAGTCAGCAAAAACCTATCCACGCTGAAGGCATCCTGAGACACCAGCCAGCTCCTCGGCTCGTCCATAGACATAAATCCAATGCTCCAAAAAATCGTAGAGGACCGCAGTGTCCGCAGCAGAGAAATGAATGTTTCTCAAATGAGGGTTGTTAGGGTTCATCAACCTAAGAATCCGACCAAGCTGATATGACTCAAGTCCTGTGCCTTTTTGTTAGATTTGTAGGAGCATACGCTGACATCCCCCCGTACTTACCAGGTAGAGTGCGTACAAAGTCTTGATACACTGTCCAACAGTCTACCAGACTCGGTAGGATCGACTCAACTGACATGCCGGCTTCTCGAATCAAGATTTCCATGCATCGGCGATCAAAGTGCATAGCCGAATATTCGACCCATAGGCAATCGGGATTTAGACCCGCTTGGAGCAGTATGTTCATAATCTCCTTTGGTGTTTTGGCGTCCGGTGGGAAGTCATCTCCAGACAAACCTCGAAATTTCCGAACTGCTAGGATACTATTTTGATCATACCCTAAATTCTTGAGCCTAGTCATAAATTGAGAATTTGTGACCCCTTTATCATTGATTAGACAGCTAATAATGATTTGGCCTTTCCCATCACGAGCGGTGATCTCGATTGGAATTAATGGTAGATTCCTCACTAAACGCCGCACTGTCTCAAAATCGACAATGAAAATCTTCTTATAGCACGATTGTTTGAGTTCCGCGTACTTCTTAGCCATAGGTGGTATTGATAGACGCGTTTTCTCAATAATTTGCCGGAACGAGAAGTGGTCGTTGATAGATGCCCCAATTCCTATTCGCTTGTGCGCATGCCTGCCGTCTTTGGATGTGAAGCAAAATGGTTGCGGCGGGGCTGCAAGGTCTCGTGAGATTAAAGACATGAGGTGAATACAGTAATCGCACGTAGGCGCTACTGTAAACAGTAAACGTGAGGGAACAAAGATCAACATTGCCGTGTCAAGTGACAAGGAAACCGAGTCGACGCAGGCGAAATGACGATAGCCATAAGAGAAACCTGTGCAAACTTTGCTGCCTCCAACTTCGATATTGTCGTGTCGAACTTTGTATCTCGTTAAGATGGCGAAATTCTGTTTGCGACGGTACATGCGACGGCTCCTGTTCAAGTAAGAGGTACTGCCCGTGGCATACTTTTCCATGTAGACGGCGTTCGTAGGAAGAGCATTTTGAGGCCTGTGCTCTTGACTAGGCTTATTTGAACCCAAGTCTGAGTCTGAAGCTTGACTTCGAAGGTCCTTAAGGTTCCGGTTGAAGTATAATTCAAAATGCGCCCGGAGACTATCATAGTTCATGTAGCCTCTGCTTCTCTCGGAGTCCTTGACAAATAATCCGCTGCAGTCCTGGTGGCCACATTGGAGTGGGCTTCCAACATGGCAGTTCATTCGGTGCTGCTCGAGTTGATGAGGATTGCGATACCAACAGTGTTCACAACCTTTTTCAGGGCATCTCCAGCGGCAATTAAGATGAGTCGATAAGAAATGGATAACCAAGTAGTATTCCCAGCTGGTCGTGTGCTCACACGTTGGCCATGGGCAAGCCCAAACATGGATGGGGCTGCGTTTGCCGTCTTGGGCGCTGTCTTGTCCGGGCCACCACAGAATTTGGTCCCTGGGCTTCGGGTGACCGGGATCGTGTACAGCACCATAATGAGGCAAATCGAGGGCTCGGCGGAGAACACTCACATCGTTGGTCCCACATATGCTGCATAGTTTGTGATAGAGCTTAATGAATTTCCAAGCGTCTTCCACAAACATTTTCGTGCAAAACGTTAACGTTTGAATCAAGTATATTTGACGGTGAGCATCTTCTGACAGCTTGGGAAGATAAAGTATCAAACGGTCGTACTGGGTTTCGAGAAACGGAATATCATCTTCCGACCCAGGGTCTTCGTCCATTGTAAACTGCAGAGCGAATGTGGACCATGCGCGGCATTCCTGTTCCACAGCTTGGGATGGGCCATACTCTTTTGGCTCTGAATTGGGTTTTTCCTGTTCATGGTCAACAACGAAAGTCATCGGTGCTTTCGTGGACTTGTGTTCGCCCTTTGATCGTTCGGTGGATATGTGGACAAATTTCATATGCTTCAGGAGACTGGTTACTAGGACTTCGCGCTTGGGAACACGACGTCCGGCTGCAACGCTATAGCACGAGCTCATATGCTCAGAGACGATGTGCGAGTCAAAGCTCTCACGATCATCAAAGATTCTCTCAATGCCAGTATAACAGCTAACATCCCCGCAATACCACTGGGTCAAGACGACCGCATTGTGGGCTTGAAGATGTACGTCGATCACAAACGTTTCATCAAGAACTGCACCACACTGGGGGACTTTGCAGTTCCACTTATCGTCTACGAGCACGGCGGAGACGATGTCCTCACGATCGAGCCTCGTCTTTGGAGGTAAGCTTTGGTTGACGCGGTATGCGTTGTCTTCGAATGCTCTGGTCTCGTACACCCCAAAAATTTCGTCAAAATAGTTGACTGATTCATCTCGAATGCAGCTTATGAAGCTCGATTGGAGGCGCGTTGCCTTCTGGCCGTGCATTGATGTAAATGACAATGTGGCATTGGGTGCCCCTTTAGGATCTCCACACGGAACGAGCACTTGGTGTTGTTCATTGTCAGTCGATTCCGGGGATTCTTTCAATGTTCCGTTTTCTTTTCCTTTCCTATCGTCTTCGTCAGAGAAGCGATCGAGGTCTCCTTGGTCATCAGGACCAGATGATTCAGACTCATGGCCACTCCCCACAAGGTTGTCGATATCGGTTGGAAACTCATGAACGGCTCGGCTACTGCGTACTCTTGTGAAGTCCAAGTCGATGATAATAGTATGTTTTGTGCCCAGGTGTCGCATGAGATTAGCTTTCGTATAGGGTTCGATGATATCGTTGCAGGTGGGACAGCGACCGTCAGTTTTGGATAAAGGTTCCTGCCCACGATTCCAAAACGCGCTGAGAGGGAGGTTTTGCATAGAGGGATCATCTTGTCGAAATCGTTCTCGGTAGTACAGGGCTAACGCACGCTCGGCTCGACGTGGCTCTTCGTGTAATCCATGGTGTTGGATTATGTGAATGCGGACGACGTCTGCACTAGCTGCCACGAAACCACAGAGATGGCAGCCAAATCCGCCAACAACATTATGCTCCCGTTCGAGATGTCTTCCAAGGTAATTCAGCACCATCGATTTTTGACAGCCAGGCCAATAGCAAGGAACACGGGGGATATTATCCATGCTGAATTCACAAGTTGATAGATGTGAGGAGACCAAGTATGACAGCACAGTTTAGAAGAGGAATAGAGAGGGATCCAAGGCTGCGGATTGCAACTTCCTGAGTGGCTGAATAGGAAGGAAGGAAGGAAGGAAGGAAGAAAGGTAAGGAAGAAAGGAAAGGGTCACTGAATAGGAGGCAGCAGATAGTTCATTCTGCTGCACAAGAAATTCTCGGAGATCTGCGATGATACAGCACACAAGTGATTCAGAGGCTAAACTGGGATAAAAGAAACGAGGTTATGCCTCTTGAATGTAAGCCATTATAGAAGGTCGAGACACGCCAAGACTTGTAGTATACGCGCACCAAACGCAAGCTGCCAAGCTTTCTGGTGACTTTCGTAGCCAATCAACAACTGGCCGAATTAATGTCCAAGGGGTTCGCAGCCAATCAAACCGTAGTACATTCGCGGAGACGCAGCCTTGCAATAAGATGTCTGCCTTATTGGCCCTGCATGCCTGTTCCAGTCTGATTCGTGACAAGATTGCTATATTTTGGAATGGTCAAGAGTCTATTAACACACAATGATACAATATTTTGCAGCCTTACTCAAGGAGGCCTGACTGATTCCCGTCGTCAATAGGAGCGTGGACTGCTAAGAGCGCGTCAGGGGTACCGAAGTAACGCCGACTAGACAAACTAAGAAGGTTAGCCAAGAAAAATGTGTAGTATATATTTTAATCCGCAAAATTTTGTACCCATAATTGGCCTCTATGGCGTAGTGGTAACGGTGAGTTTTCAGCCTTTTTCAAAAAAAAAGAATCCATGCTGATGCTGTTTAGCGTCGCACTTGTACCACGGCAGAATTTCATCTCCATGAGTCGATGCGAAGATCACAAGTTCAATTCTTGTTGGAGGCATTCTTTTTTCTCCTTTTCTTTTTTTGGAATATTCGTATACGGGGAACCTGTTTCCCAACTTGCCTTCTTACATTCGAGGGAACACTCAACTTTGTCCTGATCGTCCACGCTGACCTGCAGCTCCTCCTGCACGCAGAGTGGTTGACGAATAGCTCCGGAAAGGCCCAAGAAGGGCAGCCCAGCCCGGAATGACACCCTGGAAACATGAGAAGGAGGTGTGAACGAGAGCGGAGGTGAGGACATGGCCGTCGTAGAATAAGACGGACGACTGAATTGTTTTGAACAGATATGAGTGTGGCTCGGCCTCTCGCAGATACGGCAACGAGGCCCAACTTGACGGACTACCTTTGAAGGAGGACAACAGTCAAGTCAAGCACGGTAACGATACTCTCCAGACTCAGAGTGATGATCGGAGACTGTGTTTCCTGCTTCCCTGATGGGTTTGTGTCATTTGCTTCAGTGTCACTATGCAAGGTTCCCTAACGATCGAGAGAGAAGAGCCCGATGATTTTACCCGTGTAGCGAAGCGGACAAAGGAATGCCACCTGGAATCGAAGTTGCGCAGAGGTACAAGTCAGGTCTGCATTTTTGTCCCCGACCACCACGGGAGTATTCGAAGGCAGAGCCATAATGGATCCCAGCAGGCTTTGAGCGGGTCCGTACCTGTGTCGAAACTGAGCCAGTTCGGGCGCCTATTCGGGTTCTCTTCGCTTTCCAACTACGAGGTAGAAGAGGAAACTGCAGCCCGTAGCTGGCTCGCTTCAGTCGATAAGCCGTGCCCTTGGGCTCCACGTTTCCTCAAAAAGTAAGGATAGGTCGTGGGCACGGGTTATCACGGTGGTTATGGTTCTTGGTGGTCACCGGTGGTTATATGAGTAGCGAACTTAGGATAGTCATCGGTTCGCGGAGCAAGGGGCTCGGAAAAGGGGGCACTTTGGTGGGGGTACTGGGGGGTTTGGTCAACTCCCGGGACTCGGTACTACTGCTTCCCTGCCCCACACGGAACACCTTTGGGACTACTTCGCATATACGAGTACGTCCATACTCGGACATACTCCATACACACACTCCATACACACACAATCTTAGAGCAGATCCGGATCAATGAGCTCGTGACACAGTCCCTCCCTATTCTCAACTGGCCACAACAATGCGACGCACCAACGGCCAAATCCGCGTGCACTTCCTGCCGGTCCGGGCGCCGGACAAGAAGACGACGAAGCGGGAGGACGAGCTCGACAAGGCCGAGGCGCGCGTCCATGCCGCGACAGTCTCCTCGACGTGGCGACAGTATGCGGCGCAACCGGGGTCGGGTCCGGGTTCTCCGACAGGGACGAAGCGCGGAAAGAGCAAGGGCAGCGCAAGGCCTCGACATCTCACGGCCCGGCACTGCAATAAAGAACGGATCTCGGACTCCGAACCAGGTCCCCAGCCCGGCCGCGAAAGTATGGTTCGACGCGAAACAGTGGTGTACTCGGTGATTGAGCGTGGGAAGTGCGGCACGTTGGACCCGTTCATCCAGCTTGCTGGAGACGGTGACCTGTCGAGACGGGATCGGGATCTGATCCACTTTTGTGAGTCGCTTGTTCTGTTCTACTCGACGCTACTTTCCGTGCGATGTGTGCTGTGACTATGCTGGGGATCAGCTCTTCGTTTGGTGTCTTGCGTTTCCTATTCCTTGTTCTGTCTCGAGTCTCGCACCCTGAGTTCCAACCGATGGTCAAAGTGCTGTGTAGGCAGACCAGACTAAGTTATTCCTTTTCGAAGATCTCACCACCGGCCCGGCCCAATATGGAACATCGGCTCGTCCGTCCTTCTGCCCCACGCGCGACTGCACCGTCCCGCAACTCGCCGGCAACGCCGTCTACGTCCGGTGGCTGGCCTTTGTGGCCGAGGTAATGACCATTTCCATGACGAAGACCGACGCCCTCACCGGCAAGATGACCATCGCGGCACGCCGCGCCACGAACTACAGACTCATGCGCCTCATGATGGCGGACAGTGACAATTGGCACCAGACCTCCACGGTCTTCAGCTTGATCGTCGCGGCGATTTCCGAGTTCAGAGCCAGCGACACGGTCGTGGCGAAGAAGCACCTGGCCATGGCGATTGCGTTGTTGGAGCGGAAGCGTGGACTGATGTCCATCCAGGAGATGGAGTTCACGGAGGGAATCATCATCTTGTACGCGTTTACAAGTCTCGAATTGCCGATCTTGGACACGTGGGCAAGTCTGGCGGGTGCGTTGGAGCGATGGAGAAGAACCACGTCGAAGCTCCAGAGCGGAGAGATCAAGTGGGTAGGACTGCCCAAACGATTGATTGTGGAGCTTGCGTCGCCGGCCAGTCCGCAGTGGGGACCGCAGTTGGCGTGTCTCCATGTCATGAACTGCACCCTCTCGAGGTGCAGCGAGGAGGATGGCAAGGAGTATGTCGAGAAGCTTCGGAGGATGACGAGCGGTAGCCGAGGGCCAAGCACACTCGCACCTGTGGCGATCTTCTTCATGCTCGGCTCGTGTGCGGAGAGCATGGGCTGGTGGCACGCCAGGTCTGCAAGTCCGAGCCCCTTGATGACGTGGGAGGCGATCGAGCTGGTCGCCCTGATGAATCTTGCCCCGAGAATGAGAAGAGATGTCATTGCCTTTTTGGCATCGAGGATGAACGAAGGCCGAATCTTTGACCTGGACATCAACGAGGTGGAGGCTGAGATTGTTTTGAATTGGGAACTGAAGCACGGGAATCACGCTAAGGCGTTCGGCTGAGGGGATACGACACCGGAATTTGCAGGGCAGGACGGGTCAGCTCTCTGAGGAACCGATATGGCAGCACCCGCAGCAGGAAGCACCTCAGCCACTGAGCCGATGATGGCTCGTTCCTTTGCTCGATATCCTGCAGAGAAGGCAACCGAAGGCGCCAACCTCCTTTGTCGTCGACGGCACAAGTTCACCCAGATGGTGACATTGATGATTGGTCACGAATGCAAAGGGCACGTTATGATACCGTCCCAGGCCGACCCAGCCTGGCATTGAATGTATTGTCCCGCTCGGCATGACGCAGTCGTGGGCAATGGCCAGCTCGACCTTGGCAAGGTATGAGATTCGCCGTCCTCCCCATCGATCCTGTTTTACCACCATTGCATTGGGGTATTCCAGCCCCTCGGGGAGCATGCCAGGGAGTCTGCCTCGGTGAGACACGGAAAATAAACTGCCTCCGCTGCGCGCATGAGCGAGTGGTATGGAAGATCCATTGTATCCTCATATTGGCAACGACTGGCTGATGATTAGACCAGTCTATCAAAGAGGGCGGAGTAGGTTCTGAACCACGGTCTGGCAAATCATCGTATGTGGTGCAGGTATGAGTCAGAGAGATACAGGTCAGGAGCGAATTGGCAATATGACGTGCTGAAGACCTTGTCTTCACTTCACGGTTTCCCAGTACGGTTCATCTGCTAGGGCCTGACGCTCAGTTCTGTCGATGATTCTCAGTGCTTCATTGTCGTCCGAGATTTCAGGAACGAGCCAGACTATGATTGTGATGGCTCGAGCAGGGGAGACAAACCAATAACAACCTTTTGAACAACTGGCTTCGACAGGAAATTGAGCACTGACTCTGCTTTCTGTGACCGAGCGAGGTTTGTGAAAAATTGCGTCGCAGCCGTTCTAAGGTTGTAGACTGCGTTCTGAGTGGCGGCTAGGCAAACGTTCCCAGCGCTACATATCTTGGCGACAAGGTCTCGTTCATTCAGAGAAGAAGCATTGGCGACAGTCTCGGTTGTGTAGCCACTCCATGGAGGAGGCGCGTCATTTGGCATGTGAATTGTGTCGTCCCATTCGTCAGGGTCCACTCCGATCCATGTTCCATCATAGATCTGGTGCCACCTGTACTCCGCTCCGTCGAACATGCCGTATGCTCCATGACCCATGGCTCCATATTATCTCCTGCGCAATGACGCTCCGCCGCCAACGATTTTAGAAGTAACAGTTGCGTGAGCGACAGTGTGGTTCAGTACCAAGAGCACTGAAAATAAGGAAGCGATCGAGATTCGCGTCATTGTGTTCGAGTAAGAGAAGAGCGCGAAGGTGAGTTTGAATGATATACTGGGGGTCGATCTCAGCTACTGTGCGTTGAAGCCATCAACACGTATGAGCTGACTCTTATATGTGTTTTGCCGCCATGTACCATCCGAATGGGTCTGAGGTCGTGCAGGTCATCTTCGAGATACCATCTTGAGCTGTACTGGGATTGAAGCCGCGCGACACTTCGGAACACTGATGCAACGAGAAGGAAAAGGTGTCCGTAGGATATAAGGCGCTAGAAAGGCCGAATTTGCGGACAAGATGCTGAACTGTGCAGTAAGCCGCGAAATGAGGAACACTGATCAAACACTGAAGGGAAGCCGAAGCAACATACCACTGTCAACAATCGGATATGCCCGGTGTCCTTGGGGTTGGTGGTTCACATGAGGGAGCTAGGCGCACAGTTAACCACAACCCGGATGTCGGGCACTCAGAAGCACTGTAGCTGCTATACACAGAATCTGCCTTGCGACCTGGTCGTGACATGCGCCACTCCAGATGAAGGTCGCCTCCTGGCTTCTGGCTTCTGGCTTCTGGCTTCAACCATCTTCTAGAGCGGTACAAGTCTGCGCTGCAGCAGATCATGAGTGCTCCCCGAGGCCTGATTCTGAGGTAGTCTTGAGATCCTTGTGTGAAGGAGCGAGTAAAGGGTGGAAGCATCTCCTCGACAATGCAGGCACTGAGACCCAGCCGGTGATAGCCAGCCAACAGCAAAGGTCAAGAAAAAGAAGCTTCGTGCCTGCCGAGATGCTGCCTTTCTTTCAGTCCATGATTGTTGTCTCATGTTCGAAGACGTAAGGTACTTGATGCTCGTGGCAATTAGAAACGGGGAGGGGCTACCTGGTAATCTAGGGCTCTCGTAGGCTAGTCCTGAAATAGCTTAGTTTTAATACGAGCGAGACTAGGCAGCCGCGGCAACCTCCGCAA